AAATCTCTGTACCTTTCACTCAGTTTCACAGTGAACCTAAAAATGAATGAATGAATGAATGAATGGATGAGTAAATAAATAAATGAATAAAAGAAAAATTTAGTCTCTTTAGTAATTTTAAAAATTTTGTTAACTTATTTAAAAGTAAGGATTATTAAATAAAGGTAGTTATACAACTATAATATATAATGTAAACATAAAATATATAATACAACTATTATATAAAGTTATATAAATAAAGCATTCCTAAAGAGTGCTTAACTTAATTTTTGAACTTGATCTAAAAATCAAAAGGCATGGACATACGACTCCTGGCCAAAATTTCACAGATTTTTTAAAATATATATTCAGTCATACATCAGGTAATTTTTGAGCAGAAGGAATGTGCAGTGCAAAAGAAATAGGCACAAATATATGTTTCCATGTGGTGGCTTAGTAAAGGAAAAGAAATAAGCATCCTCTTTTCTAGGAAACCAAATATTCTCTAAATCACTGTCAGAACCAGTTAACTTCAGCCATTTAGTATCGGTTTCTAAATGCCTTGGAGACCACTAAACATCCCTGTTCTTTCTCAAGCAGAAAACATTTCATGGCTCTGGCTGGAGATGTCTTATTAGTCACCTTGAGAAACAACGAAAGTCACACATAGGAAAAGAAAAATTTGTGCCAAATGTGGAGACTCTCCTTCCTCTGAAGTTATCTGAAAGAACTTTGAGTTGCACAAGAAATGAATCACTAAAACTCTGCTCCCAAAGAGCTGTTCCTTTCTGAAAGTCACAAATAAAGCTGAATTTCTCTCCTACCATTAAGAAAAAGAAAGTTGTAGGATCTTGTACATTTGCATTACACACATTTGGTGATCTACTAATAAAGATTTATATAGTGGACAATTACCTCCTCTTCCTACTAATAAACTGTAGTTCTGCTCTTAGCCTCAATAGGCAAACTCCCTGGGGAAATAAGAAACAGTGCCATATTTTGAAAACTTCGACCAATAGATAGTCTTGAGGCCCAATTTCTACAAGTCACGATAAACATTTTCTCATCCTCAAAACAGGTAGATACCAGAGGGTAGATGATGTTTACCATTCCTTTCAGTTTGGGTGTTGTCTTAGTGAGAAGGCTGGTCAACCTCACCCATGTTATTTTTCCGTCCTCACTCTCCCCCAGATTGGAAATCAAATAATAAATGGGACTGGACCTAGATAGAATCATGGGCACAGTGGAGTTAATGAATTTCTCTCTAGGGTCTATGCAAAAATCCACACTGTCAGGAACTGGGGTTACTCAGGAATATTGCACAGTTGTTTGTTCTGAGATTAATGAGTGAATTGGGTTCCTTAAGTGTTCATGTCTCAAAGTCTTTGCGTAGAGTTGTCGGCATGCTATATTTCTTTCAAATACTACAATTTGAGATAGAAGAAAAATCCTCATTTCCATTTTTGCAATATTTTTGCCAGTTATTCTATAGCAATTATTTATGTGTTGACATTAATTATTTTATTTTTTTAAAGATTTTATTTATTTATTCATGAGAGACAGAGGAGGAGAGAGAGAGAGAGAGAGAGAGAGAGAGAGAAGCAGAGGGAGAAGCAGGCTCCCAAGGAGCAGGGAGCCCAATGCGGGACTCAATCCCAGGACCCTGGGATCATGACCTGAGCCGAAGGCAGACGCTTTACCATCTGAGCCACCCAGGCACCCGACATTAATTATTTTAGAGTGCCTTGAAATTTGACTCTGCTGTGTAATCATATGCTATTTGTACAATGGCTTCCCACTATTTCATCATTTGAAAACGAGTGCCTTGCCAGCACTTATTTGATTCTCCCTTTCCTTTCAGAATTGCAGGAAGACTGTGCTTGCTGGGCGAAGGGAGGTTTTCTTTGCTTTCCAAGTTCTGAAATACCATGTCACTGAGCCAGTTTGTTTCACACAGGTGTCCTGACGCTGACGACTAAACTGGTCAAAGGGCTCATCTGATGTGAGTGAGGGCTTTGCTCCCGGGGAGCCATGGCTATTGTATTTAAGAGCTTTGAGTGCCTCAATTATCAGCCAGTTCTGAAAAGCATTTCTTTTGCTCCCCATAAAATATAAGAATTATGAAGTGACTATGGAAAATGGGTACCTTGTCCATTGTATTAGATATTAATTAAGCAAACTTGTCATTTTTGAACAAAATAGAACTAGTCCCTTATGGATTAGTGATGTATTTGGTCTCCCATTCCCACCTAGAACATTAGATTAGGCACTTTCCTTTCCACTATGTGGGGTACTAAGGATTGATTTTGCCAAAGAGCTGGTCCATCTGTGTGGAGCTACCATTACTTCCCTCAAATGTGTTCCCAGTGGGAATCATGGTGACCACTGGAAGACCTGGGGATGGAGGACTAGTCATGTGAGCAATGCCATTAAAGAGAATAGGAATGGGAGTGACCCCCAAACATTCCATGATGTCATCAAAATTCCTGTGAAACCTGAGGTTTTTGAGAAACTAAATTTTGGAAACCTAAAAAAGTGCATGTCAATTTTATTAAGCCTAATGTCACAATAATATTTTAACATAGATCTTTTTCATTTCAAAAATGTAGAAAAATAGAAAAGGAAAATATGAAGGAATAAAGAAGCACATCACACAATATATCATTTTTTTAGTGGCTAAAGCAGTTTTTAAAATATGATATGGATTTATTACAGTCCATCTTCAATAAAATTACTTAGGGCAGATTTCTGTAGAAAATTGTGAAATTTCTTTCCCTGGAAAGATATTTTTAATATGGTGGTATGGACCTGTAATAACAACTGGCCCATTGGTAATGAAGAGGGACCCAGACATAGGTTCCTACAGACTCTTCTCTCTGATCTAGAGCTAAGAAATACTGTGTTGTTATTTGGATATTGGCCATTGGTCATTTTCTCCTTTAGATTAAATATGAGTCCATAGTAAACTGGCATAATTTTCTTTGCCTATAAAACTATACTGTCAACAATCTAATTATGCAGTCTTTACAGTTTTTATTTATATATTTGTTTGTTTGTAATCTCTACACCCAACATGGGGCTGACTCAATGACCCTGAGATCCAGAGTCACATGCTCTTCCGACTGAGCCAGCCAGGTGCCCCTAAAAATATAAAGGAAAGAGAAACAGGTGTTCTGGTACTCAATCAGGATTGCATAATTTGAATACAAGAACACCTGTTTCTCTCTCCTTTATATTCTTCTTCTTTTATTTTTTTAAGATTTTACTTTTGAGTAATCTCTATGCCCAAAGTGGAGCTTGAACTCACAACCCTGAGATCAAAAGTCACATGCTGTACTGACTGAGCCAGCCAGGCGCCACTCGCTCCTTTGTCTTCTTACAAGCAATTTAGCTCCTTATAAACACCTACCTGAAGCCCCTATCCCTTCTGCCCTTATCTGAGAACCCACATCACCAGGGATTTGCCTTAATGTTTTCCTTGCAGCCCCACCTTTTAACCTTGATCTTTTGCATGCATGTGCCCCTCCCCTCCATGATAGGACTTCCTAGCTTAGAGACAAGGCACTTCTGAAAACTCCTCTTGCCAGAGTTCTATCCAGTTTGCTGTCTTGATTACATTTTCTTTGTTTGAAGAAATCTTTTATCAAGTCTTTGCTTTTTTACTAGCTCTGGTTGCTAGGTGGCTATATCCTGTCCTCGGCCAACCCTATGTCTCTCCTGCCTCTGTCTTTGGGTGGGGTAAGCCAGAGTCTTCTCAATCACCCAGAGGATCTCTAACCCTTTCTGAATATAGAAAAATGAGACTTAATACCAAATACCCTCCGAAGGCACATTTCACTTCTGCATATCTTTAATATAATGTCTTGATCTTTTTGGTATCTTTAATCTCTACTCCCTTCAGCATTATCACATTTTCTTTCTAGCTCCTCTGCCCTTTGCTGACCTCACTGAGCCTCCCAGAGAGTTGTCTCAAAATTATCTCACAAACTAATTATCTCAAAATATTTCCTCGTTAAAAATTATCTTTCAAAAGTGAGATATAGTATCTTCTTTCACTGCCTTTTTTTCCACTTACCCAATAGAATTTTCTTTCAAAAATAAATCATCAGAAATATCTTATTTCATCAACACCTATACCGCCGATGCAGCTCTTTGCACTTACAGTTTCACCTGGACCTGTTGATTTTGAATACGAATGATAAAGTCAAGTCACAGTGTTCTTATCATAAGAAGCTGCCTTGCCAATATTTTAGTCCCACTCAACTGTGTTCTCTGGAGAAAAGGTGTTTCTGTATACGGAGCTGTCCAAATGCCCAAAGGCGATCACAAATGACTACAGGAAACCTCTTCAACTATAGTAATCTGACTGAAAATTACAAGATTTGCTACCAAAGAGGAAAAATTACAATTCTGCATTCAGGCAACTTGTTCCAGCAAAGTCATCTCTCATATAACTTTTAAGCTGGATGTGCTTCTTTTTTGTCATGGAAGACAATGATAGTGGCTATTACCTGTATCATTTTATTAGCAATGCCCTGAACACCTGGTAACTCTGATTTGTTTGACAGTGGACATGGCATGTTTCAATCGCAGAAAAAAATTGGCATATTGGCATATTGGCTAGTAGATAATAATGTAGCTGTAGCTGAGTTTGGGATATTGAATTTCAACGGCATTGCTACTTATGAAAGGAGAAATAACTCTTTTTTCTTGCTTCATCACTTATGATTACAGGGCCCTGCCAGTTCAGGCAACAGAGTCGATGCTGCTGTGTATATTTTACTGTTCTTCCTGCGAGATAGATCCCTGTCTTGCTGGATCTATTTCCACTGTTTAAAGGGGACGTGCTATTATATCCCAGAAACATATGAACGAAGAGGAAGGAGAATGTTCATAACTTGAAGAAGAGATTGGCCAGATCCTGACTTGTTTCTCTAAATGGATCCAGCGGCCCTGCAGCTGATTTAGGGAAAGCAAGCCTTGTCCTGGAATAATGAATGGTTTTCTTGTCTCCATTGCAGCGGTGAGTGAAGGACCAGCCACCCAACAGCCACCCATATTGCCCCCAGCACAGCCTGAGCATCCCAGCAATGAGGAGGCACCAAGCAGAACCATCCCCACAGCCTGTGTTCGACCAACTCACCCACTCCGCAGCTTTGCTAATCCTTTGCTACCTCCACCAATGAGTGCAATAGAACCGAAAGTCCCTTACACGCCACTCTTGTCTCAGCCAGGTAAATGCCCATTTGTTCACGTTTAAAATAGTTATCCTCTGTGCCTCTCCTTAAGTACATGAGGGTTCCTGCGAAGGCGGGATGCAGTATGTCTGTCACCACTGTAGGCCTACCCAATGTGCTCCTGTCTGGTACCGATGTTTGTGGTGCAGCTCGTGAGTATCTGCCTTGGCAAGGACTGGCTGGTTATAGGTGCCTTTCATTCCTTTGGAAATTTGTTCATCAGTCCTGAACACTGCTGGAAACATTCCTGGTTCTTTAGTCCGCCACATGGATCCTAGAATTTAAGGCTAGACACCAAGACTAGAAGTAAAGATAACAAAAGTCTGAAAAAACCACTTTTTAGAGATATGCGTGTAATTCCATAATTCTGCTTTGTGCCTTTCAATAGTCATCTTCCAGAGGTCCTTATTTCCGAGTTCCAGGGTCAGAAAGGGAAAGAGTGCAACTTCTTAATTTTAGAAATGACAAAACAAAAACTTAGACAAGGAGTAACATCTCTATGGTAACTGTGATAGTGTGATTTATGAGAAATACGTATTTGGTCATTCAGATGATCAAAATATAGTTTTCATTTATATTAGGTCTTCCTGCACAGTTTCTGGGTACTCTGGAGCTCACAGCTGCCAAACCCTTAGAATTTCCTTAGTGATAAGGGGATAAAGGTATCTTTAGTTATGTTAATGAACGTGACTTTTGGTGATTTTTGTTTGTTTGTTTGTTTGCCTATGAACATGACTTTTGGACAACCCCCTCAAGGGGGGGGGGCTGGTTGCCAGGAAGACCAACTACAAGATTAGAGAGTTGGAACTTTCAGCCCCACCCCCAACCTCCTGGGAGAGGAGAGGGGCTGGAGCTGGAATCTACCAACAACCAATGACTTAGTCAAGCATGACTGTGCAATGAAACCTCTGTAAGAATCGAAGAGGCCAGGGTTTGGAGAGCGAACAGGTTGGTTTACATGTGGAGATTTGGAGAGAATGATGTGACTAGAGAGGGGATGCAAACTCCATGCCCTTTCTCCAGACCTCACTCTATGTATCCCTTCATCTGGCTGTTGATTCGTATCCTTTATCATAGCCTTTAATAAATTGACAGACATGTTTCCCTGAGTTCTGTGAGCCACTCTAGCAAATGAATCAAACCTAGAGAGGAGGTCGTTGGAACCACCAGTGTGTAGCCAGGAGGTCAAAAGCACAGGTAGCAGCCTGGAGCTTGTGACTAGCATCTGAAGTCGGGGGTAGGCGACAGTTTTGTATGGCCAAATCCTTAACCTGTGGAATCTGATACTATTTCTAGGTAGATCATATCAGAATTGAGTTGAATTCTGCTGGTGTCTGAGAACTGGTTGATGTTGGTGGGACAACCGCCACCCCCCAACACTGGAGTTAGGAACACTAACCTTAAAGAATGCCTTTCTAAGAAGATCAGTTGGCAGAGATGAGAACCAGAGTCCCCTATTCCCAGTGCAGTGTTCATTTTTTCGCCTCAGTTGGTATCCAGTGATGCTAATCTGGAGTTCCTCTTCGTTTCTGTTAGGGATTAGGGGGGAGGAGGGAGGGCAGAGAGGGAGAGAAGAAGAGGAAGGAAAAGAAGAAGGAGGAAGAGCAACAGATCGGATAAAAAGCCAATAGATAGATATACATGAAGAACTATGTAGTGCTTAAAATTATTTGAACGATTAGAATAATTCTTAACAGCCTCAATATGCTTGATATCTTTGCTATCTTATGCTTGATAAGCATAAGATAGCAAAGTTCAGTGGTCCCAAGTAAAGAGAGCACCGGTGATAGACACAGCTGGATTGGCCAGTCTGTCATTCGGCAATTATGTGTAAGTTTCTGTTACTCAGAAAGTAACAGAAAGTAACAGCTGCTATAGTCACTGCATTAGTTCATAAGCCTCATGATGACCGCAAACACCAAAAAAGATACAATTGCAGTTATGAATATAATCTTAATATTAAGAATGTTTCTTGTTCCTGGTACCATATTAAGTGATTTGTGTTCATGCCCTCTGGTGTTCTGCCTTTCCTGTGGTGTGTGGTACAGATGCTCAGCTACCAGCTAACCCTGGGAGGTGGAGTGGAGCTCAGGGAGGATGTGGGATTCCAGACCTTGGGATGTATGAAGGAGGTTTCTCTGACACATAGGTTCAATGGACTTTGTTTCACAGGAAATAGCTCTTCTAACCCAAAAGACACCCACACTAGGATTTAAAGCACATCTATATTGCCCAAACCCCTCTCCCCATCTTCCACATCTATACACTCCACACACATTATGGGCAGAGTCTGCTACTTTATAGTGCCCTGAAATTATGACGTCTTTGCTAATTGAGACAAGGACAGTTGGAAGCAAGAGAATTCAGTTAACGAAATTCCCATGTCAAGAACTCACTGCCTGGTGATTTCTGGTTGCACTGTTTCCCACTGCAGTACCAACCAAAAGAATAGACCTTGGAAATGACTGGTATTCAGCCCTTTATTGAACATGGATTATATGCCTGGCATGCTTCTGCAGACTTGTAACATCACATTTGATCCTCAGAGCAACTTTGGGAGGTAGCTGCTTTCTTAGCCCCGGTTCATGGCTACGGAAACTGTGACACAGTTAATTTAAGTAACGTTTATGTCTGCACAACTACTGACCAATGCATCTTCTCCCGCTCTTTTTGCCTATAAGAAAGCACAGGTTCTGAAATGTTAGGAACTGGTTTGCACCTGTTAGTTTGTGTCTAACTTATTTAATGACAAAAACAAAGATAGGTTTTTTTTTAAACTTACTACATCAAATCATCCCAAAACTGATAAAAAGAAAAATGAGAAACATCTGAAATAATTTGAATTGAGGAATACCATTTCCTCATAAGCCTTCCTCACTCACATTTTAATGAGGTAAGAGGTTTAACTTTTATGAGGAAGAACACCAATTTTATAATATCAAAAAACTAATGCACCAAAGTACTTTATACTGTTAACTACTGTCTCTAGTTGGAAGTAAAGATTAACTATGTTATCATGGTGAAAAAAAAAGATGAAAATAAAATCCTGAAGTCGCTTTCATTTAAATGAAATTTTACCGTAGCAGAAATATTTGCCTTGGAATACAACGTTTGGAAATCAACCCATGCTCCAGAGAACTGTGGTAACAAAGAGCCCTAATTTTAGAAAGAACATCTGACAATAGACAGAACAAAGCACTGGCATTTGTTATTTACTACTTATTGTTTTCTTCCAGTTACAAATAATAGGAAAGCGACCTTAAACAAAGTCGGGCACAATGTAGCATAAATAAGTGTATTATGTCTTTAAAAGATGGGAAATTGAGCCCTTTCTGCTGTCTCTATACCCGTTCTCTCAAAAAATAAGCATATCTGAAGAACCATTCTCTGATCTAATGCCATGCAGGCAAGATCTCATTTTCTTTTATTTCCATTGTACAATTAAGAGCCTTCTTTTTATTAACTGTCTATCTCATTTTAACTATCATTCTTGTTTTTAAACTATTTCTTAAAAACCATCTCTTATTTTATATTTTCCAGTATCTTTGGGTTTTTGGTTGATTATATATTTTTCATGGTTCTCCTTTAAATGCCATCCTCCCCCACTCACCTTGAGGCATATCCTGCCATCACTTTGGAATTATTAAATGCCTTTCCTTTTCATGTTTCTCCTTCATTGTCTCCCTGTGATTCCTGTTCATTTCATAATGTCTTACCTCATGATTTTCAAATAAGTTCTCCCTGCATTGCCTCTGACACATGGTAAATAGTATGCTTTTAAGAAAGGGCTGATGTTTACTTATTCTAATAGAAAAAGAAAATTAGCAGACTGACAAATGTATTAGCTGTGACATTAACTACATGCTTCTTAGCCTAAAAGATGAAATACTTAGAGCTTTCAACAAATTTTAATTCTAAGAAAATCATTACTTTAGTCAAACTGATTGATGAAGTAAAGTCATTCTCTTGTTGGCTTAAAAAAATACCTCAAATAATTTTACTTCAGATTTCACAATAAAGGACTGAGTAATTTCTAACGAATTTATCTTTACTTACTTCAAGTAATTACTTTAGAATATGGTAATGTGAGGCATTGCTGTAATTTTTAAAGATCACACCAAATGAGAAGCTCCTTCTGCTTTGAAACCGCTTAAATTAGGATCAATGAAGAAGCTCTTTCCCTACTCATATAACTGTGTGTGGTTTTTTTTAAAGGCAACATCATTGATCTGTGCCTCAGTTGAACTTCCAGTAAGGCATGCGGAGCTGTGTTTGCAGGATGTGAGGTATAGGGCAGTGCATAATACACAGTAACTGTCTCCACGGAGTTGGGGAGATTTTTGCGGTATTTTTATAGTGAGTGGTAATTTGAAAGTCAGCCGGTTGTCATAACGACTGAAATTCTGCCTACCTGAAAACACAGATTCATTCCTTCATTTTTTTTTTTTATTTCCACCTGCCCAGTTAAAATTTAGCTTACTAGACTAGAGTACTTTATGGTGTTTCTTACAATTTCATCATCCGCTCATGATAAGGTAGTTCCGTTTCTTAATGCTTCACAGTGAATAACTATGCAGTCTTTACCCATTTCAGGGAGGCTACAATCACTGCACTTTGCAAATCACAGATGTGGACATAGAAGTGATTTGGCTTCATCCCCTTTCAGGTTAAACAGAAAACGTTTGATGGAGTGTTGCACTTATGGCATTATAGATCTGACATAAATTCTACAAAGGGCCAAGAGAGGGTGGTTTTTTTTTTTTTCTTCACTAGTGAAAATTCCTTTTAGCTGTGAAATGATCAGCTGCACTTTAAATGAACCTGGATTAGGAGACCATTTGTCTTCTGAGGCTGTAATTCTAAAGAGAAAGAAAATGTGACCTCTTAAATAGTGACTTTTATACTAAATAGTGACTGTTTTACATCAGCCCCCTGGAGTTCTTGCATCTTTGTAAAGGGGCCCATGTGCTTTATTGTCCTCCATTTACACATTGCAT